GGTTCGGGTTCGGGTTCGGGTTCGGGTTCGGGTTCTGGTTCGGGTTCCGGTTCTGGTTCTGGTTCGGGTTCCGGATCAGGTTCTCCAGGAACATATCTATCGCTGCAATCTACATTCTCTCTCCAATCGCACTGCCAAGACTCCAAGTTAAACCAGAGATTTTCAGGGCATTGCTGCACTACGGGCTCGCCAAATGTGCACTTGTAGAACTTGTCGCAATCATCGTGACGTAGAAGCAGTTCGATGGTCCAGTCAGATTCCTGCTCTGAAGGGCATTCGGCGGGTCTTTCTGCGACCACGACCGCCACCAACGCAATTAACAAAACTGCTATTCCTGTGAAATTTAAAGTAAATATCGAGTTGTAAGGATTACGCGATTGTAACATATTGGAAATGAAACTGACTGCGGCAATCAGCCGTTGGTTTGTTAAAAAAAATTCAATAGTTTCATTTTTCCAAAATTTAAATACGTTTCAGTGAAACATCATGTTTGGAATTCATCTACACAAATAAGTAAAATTTGTGAAAATTATGAAAACTTGTGCTTTAACGAGTATTACTAAAATGAAATTATAAAGATATTTATAATGGTGCTTAAAAATTTAAACGAAACCTAATACTAACCCTTCATGGTTATTGTTGGTTAAGAACAGGCAACGATTGCAACGTATGATGATGTTATATACCCTCCATCAATTTTATCTATAGTAATGAAGTACATTAATCTGTGTTTAATCCATTGATTAAAGAAATAAAACATCTTTATCGACTGGCAATGATAAAGAAGAAACGTAATTAGCAAAGATTGAGAAATAGTTGTCATTGACGTTGTTTCTTAATATTAAAATATATTTACATATCATTAACAAAGGTAAATAGTGTACTAAATATATGTACTAATGTTACTAATAATTAAATAAATAACGCACACACTCAACATAGCCCCGCACTAGGGAAACCCTGTGTCGCGGGTGCCATGGACACACATATAGACAGCCACAAATTACACCCAAACTCACGAGAGAAATAAATGTAGGCCATACAAACATTTCTCCCGGCCCGGGAATCGAACCTGGGACCTCTGCGTGGCAGTCCGGCATGGTAACCGTTCGGCCACGGAGGCAGTTATTATTTTAATTATATATTTATAAAAAGTTAATTATAATTAAAAAAACATTAAGTTAAAATAGGCGTGAAAGTGCTATCTTCACTTTAAATCAAGGTGCAATTGTAGACCAATGTAAAGTCAAAGTCTAACAATCATTCCATCCATAGGTTACACTGGTAAACGTCATTTTTTAAGCTACTGTAAGTCTGTAATACGGTAAGTCTTAACAAGATGAAAATAAAACCAAAAGTCTTGTGTGACCATACATCTACGATGTTAATGAATTGTTTTACAAATGTCTTCACACAAACAGATAACCTTAGGGTCGAAACAACGACATCGCATCGCAGAAATCTACGAGCTCGCACGACACATCGCAAGAATTTACGAATTGCTCCGCATCGCGCATTCTTGCGATGTTAATCTTCTTTGTGTTTTTTTCCTACACTTTCTTATCAATAACAGCAGTGCAACACTCTTTTTACGATCTATGTTGCTACCTACTTTAAAAACTACGTTCAGTACTGTTGATGATCGTCGAAATAATGGTTACCTGAATCGTGGCAGCGAGATTCCTTGCCGCACGAAATTCGCCGAAATAACCTATTCGCTGTTTTGTGTTTCGACCCTAAAGGTCTATCCACACATATCCGGGCCGTGACCGGGACGTGGACGGGCCGTGCTCCGTCAGGGGCTCAAAAAAATATCGTTGTGTATATTTTGTATGAACTCGTTCACACATGTCCGTGTCCGGGCCAGGGCCGGGACGGGCCTGCAGTTTATACAAAGTAGCACGCCCCGTCCACGTCCCGGGCAAGGCCCGGATATGTGTGGATAGTCCTTTAGACCGGATTTACATTTGTCGTGACGCGTCAGAACAGTATCGGTTTCATACATTTAATATGGTTAGATTTATATTAGTGTGCCGCAATCTAACGTGACGGCTTGTGTTGTGTGTATGAAACTGATACCGTTCTAGCGCGTCACGACACGACATGTCAGACAAATATAAATCCGGCTACTAACCTATCATCTGCGTTTAAAATAATATAACTTATAATATTTACTTACGTCCATTATTATCTTAAATAATGCTTAGTAATATAAAAAAATATTAGAGTATTCCGAAAAACCTTTTATACAAAACAATTGTAAATTAAAAGCAAACGTATCTGTTGAAAGTGTGCCACCTTCAAGAGTAAAAAACCAGGATTGTTAACTGAAAATAAAATAAATATTACAAAATATGTTTTTTTAATCGAACGGAATAAAAAACTATCAATATTATTTAATGGTAGATTACATGGTCAAGCTGGATTTAAATTCAAATATATGCTGAACACTATAATAATGGCTCAAATTCAAAAGTGTGAAGTTTCATGTGGCTTTGACTGTACCCAACATTTTCTTGCGTAATAGCAGAGTGCTTTATTGCTTGGTTAATCACAAATACAAACAAAAATGAATGACTGATAAAGAGTTATTTCCATTATTTTATTATTGTGGACTTTCCTCGCAATTTTATCCACCACAAAGAAAGTTTTCTGCGTCATTAGATCAGCTATATCGCCGACTTAACAATCGGTTAGTGAAACGCACTAGTGAATAATGTGTCGTAGTTGTTACTGTTCTTAGGATTGTGAAACAATTTTCCATGTACAAAAGTACTTGACATCCATCATCCCTTATACTTCATGAAAATTCTTACACATCATCTCTCTCCGACAACGAAGGGACGATGATTAAGGATTATTTTGAGTAGCGTTACTAGCATGAAAATAAAATAGGTCGGAAGCGAGATAGCGGGGGTGAGAATGGTAATTCCTCGTTTTGGTGCGGGGTCGCGGCGGCGAGACGAGGCGACTTGGCGCCACGAAGGCGGGAGCCGTCTCAGCGACGCAGGGCGTAGGAGGCTGCTACGCAGTCTGTGATCTGTACGCATCGCGAAAGAACCAACTCAATTTATAAACTTTTGATCGTACTAATAAAATTAATGTGGATTCGTAACAAATAAAAAATTTATAAATCTAACAAACGTATGCTTTTGATGAAACATCGTTAGTGTGCAGAATTTGCATTTTTTTACATTTACTTTACAAATTCATCATGAATTTACAACTAATCAATATTTTTATACTTATTTATCAGTGCAATAGTGAAAAACTTAAAACCTCTTCCAAAATAGAAATGAAAAATGTGGAACCTTCATCAAAAACTTATATTCCTGTGATAGTCCTAGAAGAAACTGATAAAAGTACTAAAGGAATAAAACTATCTCCCATATTATTCCCTAACTCAAATAAGACAGAAACGGTTATCATTCCGTATGCCAAGTAAGTAATGCTTTGTTATTGTCACTTAAATAGTACGTAGGAACAACAAATTAAGGCAGGGAGTAAAAATGTTTAATGACATTTCAAAGTGCAACAGTGTATTTCTAATGCATATTGGATTGAATAATGAACTCGTAGCCTTGGTATAATAAAGCCACATATGAAAGTGTTTTTATCACATTAAAATTCGTAAAAATAATACGAGCTACTCAAAACAAATTTATATGTGAAAGTTTATTTCTCCTATCTAAGCATAAAATAGTTATCGACTAATTTAGTTCGTAGAATCTTTAAGCCTTTCTCCTCAAAAGTTGTAATTTTGCAGATGTGGCCCTATTACTCCAAGCGTGAAAACTTAAATGTAAATTACATTAAATGACCCAATTACTTATTGCATATTGTATTTATACCTACTTTGCCCATTTCCTACCAGAGTAAAAGTGTGGGCTGAGGAAATATCAGCCAAGTTGCATGACGTTGAGAAGAAAGTAGTGCGTCCCGAAATTCTTCAAAAAGGCTTTGCAAACGTCAAAATGGGAACAAGGGATGGAGCCGCCATTGTGCAGGAAATGGCTGCAAGCCTAGAGGACCTGTTGAAAAGGCGGGCGGAGGCTGCGGGGAATATTATGCGGAAAGCCGAAAAACTATTTGCGGAAAAAACTCACCCGGATACAAATTACATTTTCGATAAAAGTTTAGTTAGTAATTACGATGTCTATATGTTTGTTCGCATTACATAAAATCTGCAAATTAGGTAGTCATGGCGTCGTTTTGAAATTTGGTGACTAATTATGGAGCATTTTGATGCGCTGATTACTAATAATTCGGTTTATTCAGTACATGGAAGAAAATTACAAAAAGACAACCCACTTAGAAGGAAATTGAAAAAAGTCTTTAACTGTCGATTTTCAAAACTATTGAGATTCGATAAATGATTCTTATCTCATACATCTTAATCAAACCTTGTCCATTTCTCTCTTTATTCGTTTGTCTCCTAGGATTATATTATGAAATACCCACTTAATTTATCGGTTTGGCTGATCAGCCTCAGCAGCGAACTGTAGTCCGCCAACATGTTGTCATGTTATACTGATACCTCTTTTCCATTTTTTCAAATTTTGATCATATTTTTCAAATAGCTCTTCCTAACGGCTACAAAGTTATCTGGGAAGTAGTCAAAATGCGAATTCAAGAAATTCAGTTTAATACTCTTGGAACAGCCCATTAAGTCAATATTTGTAACTATATTCGCCACCGTATCTTTGTAATCAAAATTTTTATTGCTTCTCTTCTTATGAAAATGTTCACCACCTCCTTAAAGTTTTCTACACAAAATGCAAGAAACAATCTGGCACGTTCAAGAACTCGCTATTACAATTTTACGTTTACGTGTTACATTGCAAAATGAACAGAGTAACTGACATTTTTCTTACACTAAAATCATTGCATTTACTTTCATTAACCCTTTGTAATGCTAGATACAAGAATGTAACTAACAATAGCCCTCGTATGTTAAAAATGAATATACGAAGGATGTAATTATAGGCTCTTTACCTAAAGTCTTTTTAGCGCAATAACGCGTTTTGTTTGAACAAACAAATATATACAATTTCAATCCGAAAAAATTTAATTTCCAAACGTGGGTACTTAGTACTACACTAATTATTTAGTATTTAACTAAATAAGAAACGAAATATGCATTAGGCCTCTATTAAGAGTCATTAAGATCCATGAAAAAATAGTTAAAACTAGCTTAAAAACATATCCGTTATCGAATTATACCCTCCGGATAATTTTAAGAAAAATCTAAAATGTTATAATAAAATATTCTGACGTGATGGACTTTCTGACTATTTTTTCTTGTAATCAACGCATTAAAAATTAAATACTACTCAGATCTTATAGGAAAAAACCACTGTAAGTCTGTGATAATTACTAAAAATGATTGCTTAATAATATATATAGTAAACAATAATAATTTTTAATAGGACTTGAAGCTAGTATACGGTTATTCTATCATTGTAATGCCGCATATTTGCAGAACATAAATGAAATAAAGAAAAAACCAGATAAACCGGAATATTGGGAGAAGCCACTGAATTGCTCTAGTATGAGAAAAGTGCCGCTTAAGAAAATGACTCATTTTGGCGGTGACATTGGTGTATCTCTCGACATTTCAAGCGTTCAAGTCGCTCAAGAAGTTTACGAGTGTGGTAAGTTTAATATATCCTTACTATTTCTCCAACTCCTCTTTGTATTTGCTTACGTATTTTTGTCTACGCCTAAATAAAATAAAGTCATTTAAGATGTAACTTTTATGACCTGGAAGATCGAAACAAATTGAAAATTCAGAAACTCGCTACCCAAAGTTAAGTCTTATGGCATTAAAAATATTCAAGTTCTTTGTAATTCTTTAATATGACAGGAAACCTCCTGTACCTATGCATTTTTTTCATTGAATTATTGCTTTATTAGGTACTTGTACTTAATGAAACAAACCATTTTGCGTACTTTTTAATTAAGATGAGGGTGAGTAGCAATAATATAGGAGAGATAACATAATATGTAAGTAGTGTTTTCCTTTCCTTTGAAATATTGATGAGATTTTTGAGACTATTTGGTTTTCATCTGAAATGATTCGGCTTCTATAGAACCAATATAGCCCGCACGCTTTCTTAGTGCGCATTATGGTAATGTTTCGTTTCTTGCACTTCGTGTTTAATTTCGTATGTTATTCGAGTTACATCTCCAACAGAGAAAATACTACTTACCTTATCTGTTATAGATGAGCGAGTGTTGCCAGACATATTTTGGTCAGAAGGACTGCTAGAGACATTTCGGCAGAATTATGAACAAGACGCCATGACGGATTTCCAGTACTTTTGCAGCGTCAAAGGATTTCTTAGACATTACCCAGGCGAGTGGCTTGTTTGTTAAGCTGGTAGTTTTATATTCTTGTAGTTTAGTAAAATGTTTATTGAACATGCAATATTTAAAGTTTTGGGTCTTATTATAGCGGCGGAATGGTCGTCGTTTTTCAAAATACATTTAAGTGACTATCAAGAAGATGTAGCGGATGTGTACGACTGTCGCCTGCGCCCGTGGTATGTGGCGGCTGGTGGCGCCCCTAGGGATATACTTGTACTCTTTGATGCCACTGGCTCCATGGTCAACTCTACAAATAAAGTAAACGCAGAGCAATTTACGCAAACCTTACTAAATGCACTCACCGATGACGATCAGGTCAATGTCCTACGATTCAACGAGAAAGTCAAAGTGGAATCGCCCATCGCGTGTTTTAATGATAAACTCGTATCTGTATGTATACGTTTTCGTCTTTTTATTTTACTTCAATCCATTAAAATTGATTTTATTATAACTACAACAATGTCACATATAGCTTAGAACAGACTGCAACAAAATAAATTGTTTTCAGTCTCACCACGTAAATTCAGCTGCAATGTTGGCCGTACTAAAGGATTACTTAGTAACAAATTATACACATTTAGAGAACGTTATACGTGAAGGAGTAAGGATTTTACAAAGAGAACAATACAGGACCGAGAAGCCACCTTCGTGTCAGCAAGCCATTGTACTGATCGCAGATAGCATTCCTCTTAACTACACTGATGTTATGAGGAAAGCCGATCCCACAGGGCGCATAAGGTAACATTGATATGTTTACAAAGTGACACAACAGTCACGGCAAAGGACATCAGATATCATCATTCCGTTATACAAACTAGAGATTAGTTTGTATCACAATATGGCTAGCACGGCAAGGCGCGACTGGCGCGAGAGCGACTTAAAGCGCGAGATACTGCTATTCTCGCAGATATCTCGCGCTTTATGTGGCTCTCGCGAAGTTGCGTTCGTCCGTGCTAGCCTTACTGGTGTCAAGAAACGAAACTATTATATAGCGCCACATATTTATCGTCTAAATTTGATTCTTTTGACGTTGATTCGGCAGGTTGTTCGTGATATGGTTACACGACCCGTTTGGCCTGCGCGATGACTCTAAAGAATACGGTCAGTGGCTGAGCTGTACTAGTGACGGCCATTTCGCGGAACTGGTGACTTCCAGTGACGTCACGGAGCAGGTCATGCACATCCTTCACGTGCTCGAGCGTCCGCTTGTCGCGCAACGCAACAAGCGGCTTAGGATATTCAGTGATATTTATGCACAAGTCGAGGTAATTTTAAATAAGTAATAAAGACCAAGAAACTAACGATTTATTGAAACCACCACTATCATGAGGTATCAAGGGCTTGATAATTTTAGTAGCAGTGAGCTCCCTGTGAAGGTGTTCGTCCGGGGAAGTGCTGCCACAACAGACCACCTGCCACCTTACCTGTTTCTGCCGTCAAGTAGTAACGACAGCATTGTTGATTGTGTTCCGGTTTTTAAGGGTAAGGGTGCTGGTGAAATTAGAGGCAAATGGGACTTGTTAACTTAGTTTCAAGGTGACGGGCACATTGGCAGTGCGTCTTTACCATCAAGCGCACTGATAATAAATTAAATAGAAACTGCAGATTTTCTTAGTACCATTTACGGAAATTCGATAAATAGCCGACTTGCCATTCAAAATTTGAAATCTCTGTCACCTAAATCATACGGTAAACCCAGCTATCTCTAGATTAATATCGTTAGTTATTATAAATTATCTGTGAGTATATCTATGTCAGGAAATTCTGTGGTATCAACATATAACGATCTCACTGATTTGTCATCAATGGCTATGGCAGTAATTATTACTAACAGCTTTACATTACGTATAGCACAGGGATATTAATGAGTTGGGAATAACTTCAGCTGTTGGTGATGACAGTCAACCACGTGCCGATCGAGATTTCAAATTATAAGGTCACCTAGATATCCTACCAACGTACCAGTCTGCTCTGTGAAATAAAGAACAGCAAACAGCATTCCACTAAAAAAGAATATGTAAAGATTTGAATAATACTAAGAACGCCTAATTATACGAAAATGCGCTATCAATATTGATACGATAATAATTTTTCGCTGCTCAAAATATATGTACAAGATACGTAATTAAATACAAGTCCAAGGTGGGTATATTAATATTCTAAATCACAGACCACATAAATACTTGTAAAGGTATAAATTGGGACAATTTCCAATGCATTTTGTAAATTTTAGTATAAATAATTTTTTATTTATGCCAACTTTTAACCGTGTACAGGACCCTCGAAGAAGTGAATTCTACTGGAGAAGAAAAGAAGATGACGAGCAAAGGTACCGATATTCACAGCTGAGGAAAAACAAGGACAAATTTCTCTCGGAATTAGAAAAGTATAAGCACTACATGAGACAAGAGAATCTTGTAAGCATTTTATTAGATTAGTCGTACTCTGTATAATTGCATTTCAATTTAATTACCTCGAACATGTCGGAGTTTGCATCCACACAAAGAATTAGAAGAAAAGCAAACAGAACTTCTGAACCTAAGGGCTCATTCAGAGTGCAGGCCCGGGTGCGGCGGCGGGTGCGGGCGCGCGGGTCTTGGTATCTTCCCTTTCACAGTGCCGAAGCGGCTACGAGTCGAAATCGCAAACAGACGCTAGACGCTAGACCAAGCACTGTGAGAGGTACGGGCGGACCGAGCCAATAGCTCTACCCGCGCAGCCGCACGGCCGGCCCTGTGAACGCAACGAGCGTCAACGTACATTTGATTTACACGCCCGCCGCCACTCTGAATAAGGCCTAAGACTTTTCAATTTATGTCTCAGGGTTCTTTTATACATGACAGACAGATGACTCCACTCCACCTGATGTTAAATGGAAAGTGGAACCCAAACGTGAAGGTACCTAATGTAGTGTTGATACAATCTCTGCCCTGTGGCTAGGGCAGTTATTGTATCTCCACCCTACATGCCTACATATATAGGGTGACGGGCACAGTGGCATTACTCCTCAGATCTTTGCGATTTAAAGCTCCGAGTGGCACTGCAACTATTATGGACGGACGACTCGTTCGTCCCCTTCACTTGGTATAAAAAAGGGACAAGGCAAAGACAAAAGAATGTTCGTACCGCACACATGCATTTTACGATTGCCGTGATTGTAAAGAAACAATTTGTTTCAGAATGACTCTGGTCAATATTATGAACTAGAAAATATTCATTACCGACTTCAAATTACCGTCTCTGTACCCATCTTTGACGAAACAACCAGTGAGGTATGTAAAGAGCAAAGTACGTTGATAATTTTTCGTATTTATTTATTGTTATCCTGAGACTAATTTTCACTTGTTTTTCTTTAGTTTTCAAAATAGAATTAACTGCTTTATACACAAATTTAAGTTATCTGTACAATAACAATGCTTATTACCGAAAATAACGGATAACTCACGTATTTAAGTCGAATTTTTGCTGAACATATTTCGAACCAATGCGTGGTCCTTAATCATGAGATTCCGCGGCGGTGACTCGACGGAAACTACTCCGTACTAAACAGTTTCCGTTATTTTCGTTAATATGTCTGAGTCTCATGGTGGTTTCCTATTTAAAAATAACAATGCTATACAAGCCGGCTATACCTGTGTAACGTTTTGGTGTGAGCTCTATGAGGATAGGTACATATGTATAGAGATAAAACCTCTTAGATAAGTAACGAAAAAGAAAGTACAACCAGTCAAGCCTGAAACAGAAAATTAATAACGAATTCTTAAGTCGGATTCTTAGGTTTTCGTGATTGCTTTCACAGTTTTGCAAAGGTCACATGGTCGTGACCATGACTGAATCACCTACCTTATCTTATTACATCGTGACTTTAGCATTATTTTATTCATTTAGCATTATTATTTTGCTTCTTAATTAATCTTTTTTTTGTTTCAGAATGTTACAATCCGACTGTCTGAAGTAAGTATATTGACACTATATACATAATAAGTATGTATTATATTATATTATTATAGTATTATATATTATATATATATATATATATAATATAATATATATAATAGTAAGTACGAGTATGTATATTTGTTAAGTAGGAGTTTTCGTAATTATACATTGTCTTCATAAGGCAGCATAAGAATAATCATTTCGCGATCCACAAGTAACTTGTCAAACTACTTACACAACATGGCAATAACAAAATAATAAAAATTATTAATAATTTATTTGGTTTACCAACAGATATTACATTGTGACTTCTTTACTAGGTACATTGATTTGTAGTTTTAAATTTAACGCACAGCTAATTACAAGTAAACACTTGCTGAAAAATGGCAAAAATATTATTATTAAAACAAATAATAACGACGACGTGTATACAAAAAAATGTTATTTTATTTTAATATTTTTCAAAAAAGGTAAACAATCAATTCGGATAAATAAACCTAGATTTCGTATCATTATATTGGCCGATTTTTAACCAGACACGTTTCACTCTCCTCCTAGTCACGCCTAGCATGACATGTATCAATCCACTTACGGCCTACTCCTATACACAAGTTTCATTTTGTACAAAAATTTGTATTCAAAGCTCTCTACGAATGTTATGTTATGGGAGTTATTAACGTTAAAATTTTGGATATTTCTAGGTTTATTTAAAAAAAGTTATTGTAGGCGTTTTACTGATTAGGTAACGTACTTTTGATATCAGAAGAAATTTTGATATCCCTGTGTTTACGGAATAATCCTGGGAACACTTTATGATTACACCTGTATACTCGTGTACATATACAATGCTTCTATTTTCTTAATGTCCCTCGGCAAACTTCGTGTTTCGGCTGTCGTCGGGTTTTATTCAGTAGCCTCTATAAACCGGACTCTTTCAATCGATTTGGAACATTTTGTAAACTGTTACATTTTTTATTTATTATACAATGGGAAGAAAGCCGCTGAAGTCACAGCCACGACATAATTTTCTTACAGCATGTACTTGTAATTAGTATTATACTTCACACGGAAATCAAAACCAAACAACAATAAAGTACGGTGTTCTAAACTCAAATTATTATAGATTTTAAAACTAATAATTAATGGGCATGGAAATTAATATTCGTGTGCTTTCGGAAATCCGATAATTCCGAGGTACATTGAGAAAATAGAAGCACTGTACAAACGCAAATTACATCGTAATGAAGCTGAACCGTGTAGACGGATACTAAGTAGAGGGTTATATAAACGATTGTTCACCGCCATCTTAACGTGCATTAGGAACTTCACATACTTTCGAAGATTTATGAAGCTACCAAGTATACATGTTTTCTAACAATAATATAGAGGTGACAATAATCAATAATCTTAATATGTAGAAGATGGAAGTACTTCTTTACAATGGATCCTTATCGTATCTATATCTATGAATATGTAAAATTAATACAGACAAATTGTTGTTTATTCCTTTTTATCATAAGTATTATAATCTATCTTTGTTATTACAGGAAAAGGCAAGATGGTCTACAAGAACGGTAATAAATATAATAGTCACTTAAGTGGGTAATAAAATAAATGATAATTTAATAACAAGTAAATTTTCAGTACCCGGTAAATCGACTTTTGGGCGTGGCAGGTGTCGACATACCAATTGACCATTTGAGATTAATTCTTCCATATTATCGGGTATGCCTACATATCATTAAATTTTCACCTTTACAATTAGCCACCTTACAAATTACAAAATACTTACAAATACAAATAGTCACCTTTTACAATTCAACAAAAATCCAACTCGCAAAGGTCACATCTGCAAAACGTACTTGACAACTAACACAGTATTATCTCAAAAATTGCGTTACATTATATTTTATCTCAAAATTGCGTTATATTAATAATTTATCTCCAAAACTTCGCTATATTTGTATGTCATTCGTATACGATTTAATTTCAAAGTGACAGCACAACACTGTCGCTTTGAAATTAAATAGGTAATACTAATATAACTCAAAGCAATTTTGAAACAATACAACAATGTTAGTTGCTTTGTGCGAAAATTACAATTTTCAGGAGCTAAGTCAGGTTTAAAGATTCTAGCAATTAAATTAATCGATATATTTTTAGGCTAAATAAAAGTGTTATATAATTGATATAGGTACATATAATTTGTTTCATATAATTCGTATTATTTTTATGACTTTAGTGAGATAAAAGCACTTTTGACGTATGATCTGATACACATGACTTTATGACACCAAGGTTACGAACTGTTTAAGTAGTCGTGAATTGGGAAATTTCTTTCCCCATTATATTGCACATTGCACTAAACGAAAAAGTCAACTTTCGGGAAAATGCGTTCAAAGTTTATGAAATTTGTTTAAATTTGAAAAAGAGAGATTTCCGTTTATTCACGTTATGGTTTTGAATTGTGTGATATACTATATTTATAATTGTAAACAGATAATTTAATTATCTATTTACTTTTTCAGTTAGGTGCTGGAGGATCCCTGTTCATCATTGATCATAGAGGCAATATCGTCCTGCACGACAACGTCAAGCCTGTTGTAAGCTCTAATTAATACAACTTTAAGAAACTTTCTTGTTAGTCACAATATTCAAATCAAATTATTGCTTATATAATATTTTTTAACTGGCCATATTTCTTCCCTCTTGCTGCACAACACTACGTCGGCGTAGGTGCTGCAGCAGGTCATAATCACAGAGTTAAAATAATCGATCAGAACAAATCTGTTGTGTTATTTTTAATGAGTGTACAGAGTCCAGTATGAGTAATGTGTATATCGTCGATGACTGTATGACCACTTGGGGCCAAAGTAACATTTAAGCTAAAGCACGTTTATCACAATAATTTGGCCTAAGAAAAGACATCAACGTCTTTACTATAAATCTCTGACTTCAGCCTCTAAAAAGATAACGAAGTCATCATTTGCCGTCTCCGATTGTAGTATAATAAAGGATATATGAATAGCATCGCATTACGAAATGTTTTGAAACTTCAAAATATGTTAAAAAGAAATAAGTATTATTATTTTTTTAACATCTTGCTCTGTATTTTTTTTCCAGTTTGAAGGTGACATTTTGAGACCTGGTTACCGAACCGTGGATATGATAGATTTGGAGCAACCAGGAGAAAACTTGCCTCCAAGGGACTATACTAAAACCTGGCTTGATGTAAGTTTACATTCCATCATATTTCACAAGTCACTAGATTTTTCTTTCGTATTTTTACGGTTATTTACGCAAATAAGATAAAACAGTAAAAAACAAGTCTCATTTGTTTCGTTCTATCTAGCTTAGACCTTACGAATGACAGTAAGTACCAATGGGATTACTGGAGTAGATAAAAATAAAGTACACGTGTAATATGTTTTTAAAGCCAAATCAAAGATAAATCACTCCAATCAAAAATTTGTAATCCTCTATGCATACATACATATCGTAATCCTCTGATTATAATAATACTGGAAAATCAAATCGCCAAGAAGTTGTTGAAATTTTATAATAAAAATATGATACACAATATATAGAGGCTAAATATAAAGTATAATAATTAGTTTAAGTTAAAGTAATAAGTTTTTTTTTTCATAGTTTCGCAAAGCGCTTTTAATCGATCAAGCCAAGGGCAGCCGAACGATGTATGCTAAGAATATCTTTGAGCTAGGGATGAGATCGATACAAGAGGAGAGAGAGTATCACTGGAAAAGAGTTTTGGATCATTATACGGCGGTAGTGGCGATACCAAAATACAACAGACGCTATCCTGTACATGAGGGAACTTTCAGCCGGGACTTGGCTGCAAAGGCATTTGAATCTATTATGAAACGCGATTTTGCTGTACATCCTGAATGGTAAAATCTAGGTTTTAAAAGAAACAATTACTTCAAATTAATGTAAAGTTGATTCCGTGAAACTAGTTTGAGAAAATGTGTAGGGGAGACCGGGGTTGGTAGTTCCCGGAGTAAGTTGTTCTCGCAGCAATAACTTTGCAAGGAAAATATGTAGCAATACACGTGAAGCGCGTCGTTAAAGCGTCAGGTGATGCATCTTGTCGGCAGCCATTTCAGTTACTCCGGCGACGACATGTGGCTATGTGTTCGGCTATGTGCGTGGAGCTGTCAAAATATCACGTAAGTAAATTTTTTCTTGTTAAATTTTTTGGTCTGTCTTTGTTTATTATGGGCCGATTCATACGTAATTTTTCTAAATTGTGGTGACATTAGTAAGGAATCTTGTTGTTCGAGTATTTTTTTGATTGATTCTATTACTTTGCCGGTATGTCAGTCTTCGTATAAAAACGTAACTTGGGGCTATAAGTTCCTCCCTCGAGGGGCTGGTTGTTCCTAGGAACAACTTCCCCCAATTGACCTGCAATCATACTTAAAATTTTTATGACCATTTTGTTTGTTTTAAGGATGCCAAACTCAACTGTGATTCAGATGAAGAAATGACCGATGAATAATATTACTGATGAATAAGAATGTAGTTTTTTTTAAATTTTAAGTTAACTGTGCTTAATATAAACATTAAATACATACAATTATAAAATAGGTGGTTTTATTTAAGAAAATCTTTGTTAGTCTGTCATAGTCTAGGCGGAACAATTTGCCTCAAAGGCGGAACAACGCGCCCCAAAGCGGAGCTGAATGTTCCGCTCCGAAATTTGTCAAAAATTAGCCTCTATGAAAAAGACTATTGAGATATTAGTAGAAGTCACCATATTATTACAAAAAGCGATAAACATTTCTTCAATATTACCACATGTTGCAAATCAAATCCTTCATTTTCAGTATAAAACTGCAAGTTATTTGAAAATCGGAACGATCAGTCCCGCTCTCCCCTACCGAAGGGCACAATTTTAAATCGTTTCCAAATAAAGTAGTCGAAAGTTATGATATTATCTAAACTACGTTTTGTGCCATCCATTCGATAGAATAGGTAATAATGTTTAGGTTGTACTGCAAACACGTGGACCAGCACTTTGACGAAGCTGAATTCGAAGTACGTCACTTCGTGATGCGCCGCAAAGAGGAAGCAAACTTCCCTATGAAGAAATTGAAGCACACAATGTCGCACTTGCCGCCGACTTTACTGGAAAAAACTTATCAGTGTGAGTCTCTTATCGACCAACTACCTATGTCACCTCAAATTTTTACCTCAAATTCTTTTAGAAAGATTCACACTTAAGTTCAGTATAGTGCACTGTTGCTCATATGAAATTGCATATTTCAGGCAACGAAGAACTGATGGTAAGACTGTGTAAAGAAGCAATAGCGACGGAGCAATGGGCCGACGAGACGCAGGATGAATGCGTAGGTTGCGAGCTTGGCGCTGTGACTGCATTTTTTGCTACGGGTAAAATATATGCACAGTTATTTAGTTTTTCCTTCCGACTTTGCAGTCTTGTTGAAAAACTATGTGACACATCCAGGATATCGATATCACGTACTTTGTTGCTACATGATCGAGTACCACATTTAAAATTCTGTGCAAGATTTCGGTACAATCAAACATCGTGTAATAAGCAACCACTAAGATGACTAGATGTGTAAATTTAAACATGTCCGCCATTGTTCTAAGCATTAAAAGCGACGCATTGGCCATTACACACGAACTAACATGATTATCTCAATTGAATTTTTATTGAAAGTCTAAATGTTTAACCACCATGATATTCTATTGTTTTTTGTGAAATTACTGATCAAATACTTAGAAAAAATTCCTTCGATCCGGCCAGATTCGAGCTGACACGTCTCCTAGCAAACCGTGTCAGACGCTATGCCAACGGCCGCTTTCTGTATTTGATCCTGAATCTAAGATTGTTTTTTGTCTAGATTTTATTCGATCCATCGATCGCTGCCGGATCTGTCTTTCAATATGTCTATCTCGGCTCTAGCGCCCTTAACAAAAAAGGATCGGTCGTAAATTTACGTCCTCTCTGACGTTTAGTCCCACGCTATCGGACTAAAAGTTCATTGCATGAATTAGTGAATAAAATGGTGGTTATGTGATGATTTTACATGTGCATTTGGCAAAAATATGAATTAATTGCAAACTTTCAAGTATAAAATATTTAAACCGTAAGTATGTCAAGAATGACGTGTTTCGAGGAACAGAACGGAACGCCTATTGTCAAACGAGCGGGAAGGCCATATATTTTAATCAATTTATGTTTTGTTGATATTTGTTCGTATTCGTAACGTGATAAATAATCTAAATTATAAAAATACCGTTTTGATTTGACTTTGATAAACGGCATTATTTCATTTAAAACAAATTCAACTGATGTTTTGTTCAGCCTAAATTTCAAAGTAAATTCAGCGTCAGTTAAACTTGCCATGGAGTTTATACGCCTAAACGTTCTTGCGACAGCGACCAAGAGCAGCTTGTATCCTACAAGCTGCTCTTAGTCGCTGTCGCTATTATTCCAGTCCGATAACTGAGCAAATTGTTCAAGATCACAGTCGCTATCACTTAAAAATAACTTCCATTTTCACACGATTAGACAGTACAATCGGTCAGAATTGGAGGATCGCTACTATAGACCACACGAATTTTTCTATGTGCTTGTTGTCGGATCTCGATTGTCGGATTTGTATTTGGTTTTTTAGCTGTCTATGAAAATCTATGATTTTCTCAATTTCTGTAACTCAAAATGACGTAACTATGCCATTGACTTACAAATAAATGGACGACGGGTCTAATACAAAAACCACGAAAAAAATGTCCCAAGTCGACCTATTTAAACGTAGTGACATGTAAAAGAATATGAAAAAGCTAAAACGTTGAATTTAAATTGTAATGTCATCGCTGTACTGTCTAATTTTGCTTGCTTCGCTGTCAGTCAAACAAACGAAGACTAAAGCGTGAATGACGCTCTGTATACGATTTTAACGCCCTATAAGTTCGGACACTTTTAGCGCGGACCCGACGTCCATATAATTGTAAGTCAATGAACTAAGCACAGAAAATTTTGTTTGTCTAATAAGCCCTCCCATGTTATGCACAATCCTCTAACATATTTTTTTAAGATTCCGGAAACCAGGCATGTACAGTTTGTACAGTCAAGAGCATATCTTGCTAAACATTTACGACTGTTCAGATCACTTGCAGCATATAGTTGAATTTAAATCCTGAGTGTCAAGCTTGATGTGCTCTTGGCAATGTACTCAAATTTTCTGCGATAGAAAAAAAAGGTGACAAAATTTTATAGCTACTAAGGAACAATCGTATTTTTTTCATTTTAAATGATCTGCAATACGTTACGTGTAGAGAAAGCAGCACCAAATTTTTAAACCGATTGTTGGATTTTTATAAACGATATTGGTGTGATACTTACCTACTGTAAATTTACAAACGGCAACTATTATTACATGTTTTTGTAGGCAATATTTCAAAAAAATTCACTTGGCACTTACTTAGATTTCAATTCTTACGTTTATTTGTGTTTATAGTGGATGTTATTTTCAGAGAGCGGTTTTACGCGGTGGAACCAATACCGAGTGACATCATCTCACGCGGATGCACCCAGTGGCCGTGAATGGCCGCGTGGTCCCGAAGAACCATGGTACAAGCGCGCCGCCGCTGCTCCTCCAGATACCTTGATCGTCCATGCGCCCGTTATGCCTTTACAAAGATTCAGGAGAGCTGAAGACACTTTGCCTCCCGTAAGAGGATCTTTTTGATGCGTCTAAATGAACGTGAGGTGCTGGAAAGTCACCCGCTTACAAATAGCGGCTTTTTTACAGAGTTATAAAATTTTTAATATTTTAGTGTACGTACAATGTACTCCATTGATTTCTTGGATTAGATGTGGATATCAAATTCAATCACTTAAATGTAAATCAAATACTGGTATCATAAATGCAATTGTTTATTAATTGATATGACGTAAATCGCTTAAACTATTGCGGAAATGTTGGTTTAATGCCCAATATTTCGGATTAGGTATAATTATCAAATGAAATCAGTGCAATGTGTGTTTAATTACTAAAAACTGACTCTTCTATTTCAAATGCATAATACAAAATAATCCACAGTGGTTTAAGTACTTGTAAGTACTGCACCTACATTGATGTGCCTTCTCTTACCATGTAACTTTTACCGTGCACCTTTCTTTTTGTCGCTTTAGCGCTCTCTGATCATTTTTTTATGATACCAAGTGGCGGAGCGAACAAGTCTGACCTGGTGGATTGCAGTGACACTCAGAATTTTAAATAACAAAGATCTGAGGGGCACTGCCACTGCACCCTCACCCTGAGAAATAAGTTAACAAGTCTCATGTGTACTTTCACTAGCACCTTACCCTTCAAAACCGAAACGCAGTAATGCTCAAAATTACTGCTGGACAGGAGAAATAGCTAGGTAGGATGGCAAAGCTTTAAATCACAAAGATCTGAGGTACACTGCTACTCCGCCTGTCACCCTCAGACATAAGTTGACAAGTTTCAAGTGCCTGTAATGCCACTAGCACCCTTGCCCTTCAAAACCGGAATGCACAATTACTGCTTGGCGGCACAAAAAGGTAAGATGGCAATACTTCCCTATACGAACTCTTTCACAAGGAACTTTACTGCTACCAAAATCTGAGATCTGCTGTACAACTTGTCTTAAACCTCCTCGTACGACACTACTTTAACCTTCACTTTATTATGTATTTTATCTTTCCTTTTTCTAGCTACGTACCTACAAACTACTAAAATCATCAAAGGGTGTAGGCAGGCTTCGCCGTAGCTAAAGTTGTATAAAAAACAATCAAATATTCATTGCAGCGGAGCATCAGAGATACGTGGCTTACAGCAGCGCGGCCTCTAAGTAGGCATTCCGACAAAGGTGTTATTGGTGTGGCAGGGTACCACTTCTACCCTAAGCATTTAGAAGATGTTGTCAAGGCTGTAAGCGACTATAATGTGAGTTGTGTTACTTTTTCTCATTGTGACTCTATATATGGTAATTTACAAAATCGAAACCTCTCAAACGACACATTGATACATAACCCCAATAAAGTTATATCACATCCTCGTTGTCTAAACTATAATTCTAGATAAGAGTTGCTATGTATCTGTGTAATTTTATCATCTATAGTTTAACTATGAATATAAATATATAAATATTAGACAACATCACATACGTTGCTCCAATCCCAATGTAACTAAAGCACTTGTATTATGGAAATTGGAAACACTTACCATGCGTGGTTCTTTTTTGAAGAGACCTATAATATTTTCTGTTAATAAAGAGGCCTACGTAATAATATGGACTACGAGGTAATATAGACTAGTAAGGTTGGTAAGGAGGACTCAAATAACCTTTAACTTTCAGTGCAATGACTGCCAGTACCAATGTGACGGCGTCAATTGGACGTGCGTTCTGATAGACGAAAACGGGTGGATCGTAGCCGGACACTGGATAGAAGAAGACGAGATCACTGAGGAAGATCCTGTCAGGCAAGCTAAATGAAATAGAACACAAAAACAAAAATTATAAAGACTTAACCACTTAAGTCCCGGCGTACATTAAAATGTGCATAATATGGGATGTCTTTCGTGCCTATGTAATATTTTCCTATGATCACGTAAACGCCCAGTTACATTATAATGATAATAATTATCGTATATAAATTTAGCGTTATATATTCAACATGACCGGTATTCTTGCTTGGACATGAAGCATGTAATACAATTACATCATAATTACTTATGATTGTTTAGTACATTTTAATGTTCATTGAGCGTTAGGCGCTTTCCCGTTGCAGTTTGCTGGGTCTTAGGAGGTTAAATCTGAAAAACAAATAAAATTGTGACGTCACACTTTAGTAACGCCATATACTATAGGTACTTACACTAACACACTAAACAAGCAACTAACCGGTTACTGAAAGTGGAGTGGTTTGATGTTAGTCGAAATATTAGAAAACGAGTTTCAAAAAAAAATCTAAAATGTTTTATTCAGAAGCTCAATCATTACATTTATGTAAGTGGTATGAGACTCTCTTTTAAGTATGTAAATATTTCCCGCTCTTGCTTATGGTAGATTGAGGTCACGCATCAAAAATATAGGTATCGGGCTAGTGCGTGCGTGCGTGCGTGCGTGCGTGCGTGCGTGCGTGCGTGCGTGCGTGCGTGCGTGCGTGCGTGCGTGCGTGCGTGCGTGCGTGCGTGCGTGGTGTGTGTGTGTGTCTATATTGTTAACATTTTCATGCGGCCTGACATGCAAAACATTGTCTATAGATATAATAAACATTATGGTGCTTTGGTAGCACTAGAGCTACTCTATGTGACAGAGTTCGTTCAGGGAAGTACTGCCACCTTACCCATTTTTTCTGCCGACAAGCAGTAATGTCAAAAATTACTGCGTTCCGGTTTAGAGGAGTAAGGGTGCTGGTGAAATTACAGGTACATGGGACTTGTCAACTATGTCTCAGGGTAACGGGCGCAGTGGCAGTGTCCCCCCGATCTTTGCGATTTCAAGCTCTGAATGGCACTGCAACTGTTATGGATAGGCGTGTCGCTTACCACCAGGCGCACGACTTGTTTGTCCCGTCGCTTGGTTTTATAAAAAAAGGTGGACAAGTGAAATGAGCGTTCTGTGGGTACAATTTGCTATACCCTGCCAGAATCCATGTGGTATTACTATTTTCTTGTAACAATTGTATTTATACCAGTGTTAGGCAAAATTTAATTGTTCAGGCAATTAAAGATTGACAATTAATTAATTGTCAATTGCGAAACAGCAATTAACAATTGATTAATTGTTGATTGCGGTTCTCGCACCTAACAATTAATCAATCGTTAATCGCGTATATCTGCAATTAACAATTGATCAATTTTCAATCTTTTCAATGTTTTTGATTAACAATTAAAACTGACAATTATGATAAATTTATATGGGTGACTGAGTGGATGAGTGAGTAGGCGAGTGAGTGGGTGAGTGAGTGGGTGAGTGAGTGGGTGAGTGAGTGGGTGAGAGAGTGGGTGAGTGGGTGAGAGAGTGGGTGGGTGAGTGAGCGGGTGAGTGAGCTCACTCTCTAACCCATTCCCTAACCCATCCCTAACCCACCCCTATTTTCTGCAATTAATTTAATTGCAATTAAAATCAATTCAATTGAAATCAATTGCAATTAAAATTAATTGCGACGTTGCAATTGCTTTTAATTGAATTGATTTCAATTGAATTGATTTTTTAATCAGATTGAATTTCTGATTGAAATTTAATTTATAACGCCAAACACTGATTTATACCATGGTTACCATAAAACAATATTCTATTCGATTCAGAAATATCAATTTATGAAGATCGACCAGCAAGTCCGCGTCCTCCTGGCAGATTTATAAAATATGACTGGATATTTCGTCTTATACTTTTATGCAAACCCAAAGGAAAATACGAGCATTGAATTCCACAGTACACCATCTTGATATACAATGACGTAGAGTATACTGCACTCTCTTTGTTAAAAGATCAACTTGTATCACCATTTTAGGGTCAAAAAGTATCGATTCAGCATCTACATATCAGCTGATTACTTTCGCAATTGATTATAGTCTCTCTCTCTCCTCGACATTATTATTCCCATCTGATGATGAGGTCTGTTTTTCTTGTGGGAAGTACAAGAAGGACTCCACTTTGCTTTGTCGGACTGATTGTTTTCAGAAACATGACAGCTCCTTATTTGGTATACTTTGTTCAGCCATAACAAATAATAATATTAATTTATTTCAGTCAATTAGGCACATATCTGTTAATGACAATAAAAACAATGATAACACATATTTTGAAAATTAAAATTATAAAAATAAATTATAATAAAAATTACAATATAGAAGTACTTAGTTATTAAAAATAGAAAATACAAATATTTGTTTTATAAATTAAATAAAAGTGGGAAACTAATAATCATTACAATATATAAATTAAATTTAATGAATAAAGTGGAATACAAAAAACAGGTGCTTCCTTGCGTAAACTTGAAAACCAATTCGCATAAAATTGAATCTCATTAGACAAGAAGATTTCATACCAATGTTTGTCCATCAGGGAACATTTATCACGACTACACCCACATGCAATGAGAGCTTTATTGGACAAGAAAATCTTCGAACTCAATTGGATTCATGATTACCAAGGCGTCTGTTTCCCGTCTTTGAAAAAAGGCAGCACAGCTTCAATGGTAAGTTAATCTTCGAACGTTATTATTCAATAAACTTGTTAGAGTTTAACCTTTGACACGTAAAGTTTGTTTTTACGCATTTATATAATACACATATTACTTGGAAGCATGAATAAATATAAAAGTAAGTATCTATCTAAGAAATGCTTTAATTTCAGGTGATGCCTACGATAATAATGTCATTGTTGAAATCGGTTAGCTTACTCTTCCATATTGCTAGAGAATTTATAACTGTAATCACTATACTAAGCTCAAGTAAGTATATGGCTTTAAGTTCGTGCTAGGTTTTACTCTATCTATATCTATATCTTTGTATTAATAAATATAACAAACTAGTGGAATAATTTCACAAAAAAATATTGAATATACAATACAAATTTACTAAAGTATTATTAATTTTGTAGATGCTTTGGTAGCAGCTGACACGGAGTTTGAAAAACAGAAGCGACGGAATCGTACCAAGCGAGATTACGAGCGGGAGAAATTCGAACGGCTCCACGACAATCGAATTCTTGTCAACCGAACTTTTTTCTTGGCCTGTGATAGATCAAGGCCGTTATATGTGTTAACTGTAAGGCTATAATTTGGTTTTACTTTTATACAAGCTTTGCTATGAATTTTCCAGATAGAACTACCGTATTTTTTGCATTTCCCAGGTTAGAACTTCGAGAATAGTATGTAATATAAGGAAATAAAGAGAATCATTTATTAATGTAAGATTTAGCATGAGAAAAACCACTTTTGCTTCTTAATAGGTATCTATGCAAAGTACGGCAATTATTTAATGATGTTTAATAAAAATTTTAACATCAGAATAGGGTAATTTTCAGTTCAGTATTCTCTATCTCAATTCAGTGGCAATATTTGTTACTTAAATATTCGAGTATATTATCGTGAGATTTTAAATAATATTTCAGGTTACTACACTCGAATATTAAATAATACTTCATCATAATATACTAGAATATTTAAATAATAAAAATTGCCACCGAAATTAGGTACAGAAAACGAATCTGAAAATTACCCAATAAAGCAATTCATTTTAGCGCGACCAACGCAAACTAGATCTCCTAAAAGGACCAGCAGACGCGTGCAAATGGCCGTTGGTGGGCGCTCCAGTGCCCAAGACCAATCTCATACTGCTTGCGATTATGAACAACACATTATGTACCCATTCGAAGACCGGAACTCTGCCTAATGATCCGTTTGTCAATCAACCGGTAAGTTTTTATCACAGACCAAATAGTGCTTTTTAGCTACAAATTAAAATTGTAAGTGTCAACCCCATCTAGTGCGCCCGAAACGTACTCGCAAGCTACCGACGACCCGACATCGCGACGACCACCCATCGCCGACTGACATAATCGATTAGTCTTTCAGTATGTAGATGGCGCTTCCCACAATCAACTCTGTTTTGTCAAAATATTATAATCTTTTGCATGACTAATTAGGGTAATAAAAACTACTTCCAGTACTAGCCTTATTTATATAACCAAGTCCAACGACCCTTACCCCCGCGCGCCCCAATGAGTATTCGAACCACAGACCACATGAATACTAGATTCGGACGTTTACATACGTTGGTTCGAATTTTTTTTTATAGATTGTTTTCAGTAGCAGTAAAGCTCCTTGTGAAAGAGTTCGTCCAGGGAAGTACCGTCACTTTACCTATTTCTGTACGCGGTAATCTAATCATTACTGCGTTCCGGCTTTGAAGGGTGAGGGTGCTAGTGAAATTACAGTCACATAAGATTTCTTATGTCTCAGGGTGACGGGCGCAGTGGCAGTGCTCCTAAGATCTTTGCGATTTAAAGCTTTTAGTGGCCCTGCAACTGTCATGGACAGGTCCATACCTGTCCATCGTGTCGTTTACCACCAGACGCACGACTTGTTCGTCCCGTCATTTGGTATTATACAAAATAAATAAGTTTTTCTGCTGTATTAGTTCCATGTTTGTGTGCCCCGTTCTTACCAATAAATACCTATAGTGCTCTACCAACCGATTATTTAACCTGGTTAAAAATAATAAGTACCTAACACATAATTGAGAACAAGAAACAAACAGTAACATGTTAAATACTTATTTATTCGATTGAAGCTTTAAAAGCTTGACATCACTCCAAGAACCATTAGAACATTATAGGTAACAACCAAGGAAACACAATGCTTGTCTCAATTTTCTCCTATTTCTTTGACAATCA